CTTACAAGACCAACTTAGTAGTTCGTTATGATGAACAAAACATGCAGATACTTATATATAACCTGTATATATAGCCTAACAACAGCAAAACTATTTGTTTATTGTTTTATGAACATAATAATTGAATCACTAATATGCACACCATAATTTTGAGTACAGCGATGGTTCACACATTTTATTCTATAAATATACCACAATTCACTGTATGGAATAATATTATTGCAAAAAAACTAAGAAAAAATCAATCAGAGACATTGAAATAATTAGGTAATAATATATTTGTGGCAACTGCCATCTGACAGCTCGGGGCAGAGTAGACCTCGTCTGGCGCCTCTGCCAACGCCCCTTTTTTGCCACACTTCCCTACCCTATTGCGGCTAAAATATGCCACCTACGATTTTTTTTTATTTTTTTCCGTGATCAGAGAACAAAAATGAACACGAAAGAATAAGAAAGAAAGAAATAAGACGAAAGAATTTTTTGGATTTTTTTTTTGTTGCGCCTGAGGGTGTGAATTCCATTTGGGCCCTTAGCGATTTGAGGGTTAACATTGAAAAAAAATACATGTTGTTTGGAAGGAAGTCCACCAGTCAAACTAAAGTGAGAATTAACAATAACCAAATTTAGAGCTGGACAGTTGAGGAATTTCATGGTGTTCACACTGACATTAAAACTGAATTTCAGTTGCCACATACAAAATACAAAAAAGTTTATAAAACAGTTGGCATTCTCTCTAAAATCTGATACTACGTACTTTATTCTGCCTTGGTAACTATTATTTACTCATTGATACATATCTCAGCATCTCAAAAGATAGACATACATTTGATGCTATTTTCCACATTAAAAACTAATTTGAGGCCCCTACAAATATATCTATAAAATCTATAACTAGCTAGAACCATAAAAATGCAAGAATGCCTTTTTCACCAGTACGCAACTGAATTCCACAGAAAATGGAATCTTTACTTTGGTTACAGAAAATGGCACAAAGCCGAGTGGGGTGACTGAAATAAACAGTTTCAACCCGACTCGCCCAAAATTAAAACATGTGTTTTTGACCTCATTTTTTTTAATGTAAAGTGTACTGCAAGCTCATTCTCTGGCAAATGCTCTAAGGTACTCATTTTTGTGCTACAACGTTAGGCGAGGCACCCATTTGCAATATATGCTCGAGAATTATTGATTGAACACTCATTCCCTCATCAAAACACACTGAATCTATTTAGACAAGTTTTAAACCCCTAATAAGATCTCCCTCATATGCAGGCCCTGTTCCATGATTTGCCCGCCATGGCCATGAATACAACAGTGTCATGCAAATTCAAGAGAAGACTTACTACACAGAAATATCCAACTTGTGATTTGTAAGCCTCCCTCGTCCCCCCTCCCTCATTTATGCTCGACCCCACTGGGTCACTCGTAGGTAGGGGGGCTCCTATTGATGACGTCAGGTCACGTGACACAGTGCAAATTTTTTCTCCTGGAGACCCAATTCGCCAAAGGCAATGGATTTTGACCTCAGGCTATCACTGACAAGATGTTTTCTACGAAACAAAATTTAAAGAGAATGAGACATATATCTGGGGGAAACGAGCACAAATATAACTCAAGTCTTTGTTCCCATATTTTTTTTCACCTGATTCTTTTTACCTGATTATTGAAACCTTACCAAATATATGAGGGGGGGGGACACCCTTTATTTCAGACACACTTCTCAGCAGGAATTAGAAACAGATATATTGTATTTACATAAAAACACACACATACTAGCGCTATTAAAATAGTCCAATTTTTGGAGTATTTTTTTCATTCCCGGCATTCCAATGCTGGGAATGCTATGTAGCAGTAAGGCAGTGAGGTGAGGTAGCTACTTAATTGAGGAATGTTTATTTTATTTACCTTATGAGCTGAGGCAACTTATTTTATTTGAGGAATACTCAGCTGATTCCTCTACATTTAGCATGGAACAAATTTGCGTCCAAGACCTCTTCCTGTTACACAATTTGGGTGTGTGTAACCAAACTAGAAGTGCTCTACAAATCGAGGGACCCAGAATGTGGAATGACCTCCTGAATCATGTCAAAGGCTGTACCTCTCTCAACCAGTTTAAGAGTAAAACCAAGTACTACCTAATTAACTCCATGTAACCTACCTTACCCCCTAAATGTCAACCCATGTCTTGCTATTTTTTAAACAATGCTGTTTGTTCACCAACGTGTACAATTGCTGATTTCTGCTATGTTACCCCCTTTTTTTTATTTTTTATTCCTTCTTTCAACACAATTTATACCTAATCCCGATTACTATTAAATTTAGTCTAAGTATTTTTTCCCCCACACCTTGCCCGAAATGCTATGAGTTAGCTCTGTCTATAAATCCAACATTATGTTTGTAAATCAACTATGTATGTACGTTTCCTGAATAAAATTTATTTATTATTATTTATTTATTAATCAGTAAATAAGTATTAAAAGAAGGCACCAAGCTGGGAAGGCTATGTAGCACCATTGTGTGTAACAATAAACCAAATTTTTTTTAACAAATAATGCATCTGTATTGTAAAACAAATCATGTCAGCTGTAAAAATATTGATGCAGTTATTTAAATAAAAAATATAATGAAAGAAATATTACTGGTTTATTTTTATCATATCTTTTTGTACTGTATAGTATATCCAAGGAAGTGAAAAAATTGAGACATAATGCACAATTTAATGAATGGTTCAAAAATGATTAGCATGGATTAGCAGTTCAAAAGAAATATGACTATTACACATAAACATGAGATCTTAATGATCCATGGTTAACATGATTTAATAAGGATAATACGGTACTTGTAATAATACAAACTTTAATTTAAAATCTTTATTACTGAATTTTTCTTAAGAAGCCTAGGTATACACAGCAATGTGCTGCTACCCTATTCTATATGGAATATTACACAGTGTAGATAAAAAACTAGCTATAAGTTTATCTAATACTCCCATCTCACAGAATGATTAGACATACTTGGAAACAAGGTAGAAAATACCAGCCTCAATACAAAAAACAAATCAACTCTGACAAAACAACACTTCACGATTTTCAGAAGAGGTAAGCACTGAATCATGAAAACATTATATTATAATTACTCTTACCAGTTTCTAAAAGACTCCTCTCAAACAATGTATTTTTTAATATGTTTAGGTATACACAGCAATGTGCTGCTTCCCTATTCTGTATGAAGGACCACACAGCGTAGATCAAAAACCAGCTACAAGCTCATCCAACATCCTCACATCACAGGATGGCCAGTCATACATGGAATCAGGAGAGAACAAAATACTTAACGCTGATCTATTAGCCTCCACTGGCAAAATCTGGGTGCAGCACAAGAATATCTTCCAATATTCCTGAGTGTATGAAGTAATTACAGAGCTCAAAGTACCTCATACCAGTTGGTATGAAGTGACTGATAACAGGGCAATCACAGATATAGTGTTGGAGAGTATGTTCTCTCAAGTAGGACTGAAAACAGATGTTTTTTCCACCAAGAGGGTTATAAGCCCATGGAACTACCTACCTGCTGAAGCCGTAAATGCCAAATTCCAGCAAAAAAATATCATTAAAACAATTGGCGGGCCCTTTAACAAGCCGCTGGCTTTCTGTTCTCGTCGTGGCCACTAGATAGTTAGTGGCCCTTCGGTAAATACGGTATATATATACCATATTTAGTCAGCGCATCATCCGAGCAACAAGGACAGCTACACATTATCTCTTAGAATTACGTAGGTAAACAACAAATGTAACATGTCTTTACTACAATGTCGGTGCTGGCTGTAGAAGTTGAAACACATAGTTTTACTTCGAAATAGACTAATTTTATAAGAAAATTCGAAGTAAATAGGAGGTAGTAGAGCTCCGATAAGCCAGGCTAAATCTTCAATATGAAGAATGTTGCTGCTCTCTGATTGGTCAAACGAAACACAGTAGTGACCTCTGTCTGCAACCAGGTGAACCAGACCCAAAACCTAAATATCTTCCTAAGTGGACCTACCTGAATTGCACCTAAGCCTCTTCTTTGGGCACACTTAGAAATCTTCGTAGCAAACCTACTTACGAAGAAATACATGGAGCTTCGTGAATCTAGGTCCTGGTGTCTGAGCTCCCTCGCCTGATATACAACCGTGTGACCTGGTCTCTGAGCTCCTCCGCCTGATATACCACAGTGTGACCTGGTCTCTGAGCTCCCCTGCCTGATATACCACAGTATGACCTGGTCTCTGAGCTCTCCCACTTGATATACCCCAGTGTGACCTGGTCTCTGAGCTCCCCTGCCTGATATACCACAGTATGACCTGATCTCTGAGCTCTCCCACTTGATATACCCCAGTGTGACCTGGTCTCTGAGCTCCCCCGCCTGATATACCCCAGTGTGACCTGGTCTCTGAGCTCCCTCGCCTGATATACCACAGTGTGACCTGGTCTCTGAGCTCCCTCGCCTGATATACCACAGTGTGACCTGGTTTCTGAGCTCCCCCGCCTGATATACCACAGTGTGACCTGGTTTCTGAGCTCCCCCGCCTGATATACCACAGTGTGGCCTGGTCTCTGAGCTCCCCCGCCTGATATACCATAGTGTGACCTGGTCTCTGAGCTCCCCCGCCTGATATACCACAGTGTGACCTGGTCTCTGAGCTCCCCCGCCTGATATACCATAGTGTGACCTGGTCTCTGAGCTCCCTCGCCTGATATACCACAGTGTGACCTGGTCTCTGAGCTCCCCCGCCTGATATACCATAGTGTGACCTGGTCTCTGAGCTCCCCCGCCTGATATACCACAGTGTGACCTGGTCTCTGAGCTCCCCTGCCTGATATACCACAGTGTGACCTGGTCTCTGAGCTCCCCCGCCTGATATACCACAGTGTGATCTGGTCTCTGAGCTCCCCCGCCTGATATACCACAGTGTGACCTGATCTCTGAACATATATTATTATAGGGTAACTTTTTCCTTCCAGAAAATGATGTGGAAGAAGAGGACGTACTTGGATGGTCATGTGGAGGAGCAGGTGCTGGCCGAGGACGACCTCCTAAAGGTAGAGGACCCACGCATCTTCCTGAAGCAGCGCCACGACCAGTACCAACTGGTCATCAACGACTTTCGGTCCAGGGACTGTGGGTCGTACATGTGCGAGGCGCGAGCTGGCGGCCGCGTTGCAGCCTCCCACCTGCTGCTCTTCACCTGCCTGTAGTACCCCCCCTCCCCCCCGGCTCTCCTCCCGGGAGATCCGCCCCGTCTGTGTACTCACTTAGTTGTACTCACCTATTTGTGCTTGCGGTGGTTGAGCTTTGTCTCTCTGGTCCCGCCTCTCAACTGTCAATCAACTGGTGTACAGATTCCTGAGCCTACTGGGCTCTATCATACCCACATTTGAAACTGTGTATGGAGTCTTCCTCTACCACATCACTACTTAATGCATTCCATTTGTTAACTACTCTGACACTGAAAAAATTCTTTGTAACGTCTCTGTGGCTCATTTGGGTATTAAGTTTCCACCTGTGCTCCTTTGTTCGTATTCCACCCGTGCTGAAGAGTTTGTCTTTGTCCACCCTGTCAATTCCCCTGCGAAGTTTGTAAGTGGTTACCATGTCTCCCATTATTCTTCTGTTTTCCCGGGACGTGAGGTTCAGCTCACTTAGCATTTCCACGTAGCTCATACCTCTCTGATCCAGGACAAGTCTGGTTGCATACCGCTGAATCTTCTCTAACTTTGTCTTGTGTTTAACTAGATATGGACTCCAGGCTGGAGCTGCATATTCCAGGATTGGTCTGACATAAGTGTTATACAGGGTCCTGAACGATTCCTTACACAAGTTTCTAAAGGCAGTTCTTATGTTGGCCAACCTAGCATATGCCGCTGTTGATATCCTTTTGATTTGGGGACAGGTTAGGTGTGATATCAACCCCCACATCTTTCTCTCTATTTGACTCTTGCAGGATCTCACCTCCTAGATGGTACCTTGTGTTCAACCTTCTGCTCCCTTCGCCTAATTTCATTAATTTGCACATTCTTAAGTTGAATTTTAGTAGCCATTTTCTAGGCCATTCCTCTAGTTTGTCCAGGTAATCCTGTAGTCTCTGTCTATCTTCATCTGTCTTTGATTCTTCTCATAATTTTTGCATGAACAGCAAACATTGAGAGGAATGAGTCAATACCCTCTGGAAGATCGTTTACATATATTAGAAACAGGATTGATCTAAGTACAGAGACCTGTGGGACTCCGCTGGTGACATCTCGCCACCATGACGTCTCTCCCTCACAGTTACTCGTTGTTTTCTGTTGCTTAGATACTCCCTTATACACTGGAGCACCTTACCTTTCACTCCTGCCTTTTGCTGCACCGTTTTGTAACAGCCTTTTGAGGTACTTTGCAAAGGCTTTCTGACAGTCCAAGAAAATGCAGTCTGCCCACCCTTCTCTTTCTTGCCTAATTGTTGTTGCTTGGTCATAGAATTCTATTAAACCTGTGAGTCCCAATATACCATCTCTGAACCCATGCTGGTGGTATGTTACAAAGCTATTTCCCTCCAGATGCTCTAATTGCCTTTTCCGCACGATCTTCTCCATCTCCTTGCATGGTATGCAAGTTAGGGAAACTGGCCTGTAGTTCAGTGTCTCTTGCTTCTCATCCTTTTTGAATTCTGGTACTACATCAGCTGTCTTCCAGCTTTCTGGTAAATCTTCCATTACCAGTGGCCTGTTATACACCATAGGGAGTGACACACTTAGTTCTTCTGCACCTTTTTTTAGTATCCACAGTGAGATTCTGTCAGGCCCAGCAACCTTTGTCACATTTAGTTCCAACAGATTCCTTTTGACTTCATCACTGGTGAGGTCAAAATCCTCCAAGGTTGCTTGGTTTGTCTCCACCTCATCTAGTGCAGGGGACTTCTTGTTCTTTCGTGAAGACCTCTTGGAATGTCTTGTTGAGTTCTTTACACACCACCTTGTCATTCTCTGTGTATCTGATGTCTCCTTTTCTCAGTTTAATCACCTGTTCCTTCACTGCTGTTTTGGTTGTGCCTTGGCTTTACTCGCTATGTCATTTTCATACTGTGTCTCTGCTTCTCTTCTCTCTCTGACGTACTCATTCTGGCCCTCTGGTATCTCTCCCTTCTCTCTGTTGTTCTGTTGTTCCTGTAGTTTCTTCATGTTCTTGTACTCAATTGCCTTGCTAACTTACATTCCTGATTGAACGCTGGATTGTTCTATTTACATTTTTATTTTTCTTCTTTTGGGCTGGGATAAACCTGGCTGCAGCTTCCTGGCACTTCTGGGTGGCATTGTCCTTCATATCCTGCACAGTCTTTTCTCAAAGTTCTGTTTCCCATGGTATTCCCATTAGGAAGGTCCTCATCTCACCATATTTTCCTCCTCGGTAATTAACCTTTTCCCTTCCGATCCTTTCCTCGGATAGGCCTATACCTCCACCAGATACTCAAATGTCAATACAATGTTGTCACTCATTCCTTGGGGGCTTGAAATCTGACTTCCAATATTTCTGACACATTCAAGGTGAATATCAGGTCGAATCTAGCTGGTTCATCATTGCCTCTCATTTTTGTGGGTCCCTTGACATGTTGACTCAGAAAGTTCCTTGTTGCCACTTCCAAGAGTTTAGCTCTCCATGTATCTGCACCTCCATGTGGTTCCCCATTCTCCCAATCTATCTTTCCATGGTTGAAATCGCCCAGATTAAGAGTCTGTATCCATTTCTGCAGACAGCGAAAGCTGCTCTCTCTATTATATTAATAGTTGCCATGTTGTTCCTATCAAACTCCTGTCTGGGTCGTCTGTCATTTAGTGGAGGGTTGTAAATGACTGCTACTGTTATCTTAGGTCAACCCATAGTCATAGTTCCTGTTATGTAGTTTCTGAATCGTTCACAGCCCGGAATTTCCATCTTTTCAAAACTCCAGTCTTTCCTCATCAGCAGGGCCACTTCTCCTCCTCCTCTCCCGTCCCTCTCTTTCCTTACTATACAGTAGTAGTAGGGATCATTAAGTCTCGGGAGACTATGGAGTTGCGCCCTAGTTGTCAATCCTGGTGCAGCGTCTGGTGTGACTGATGAGGCCAATCCGAGAATGGCAGTCCATCCCACACCGAGCACAAACGAAGTCCGATTCTGGTCTGTCTTCCTGGCTACCGGCTTTCCTTCTCTGTCTCTTTGCCTCCGATTCCTTGGCAAATGACTCCTCGAACTTGGAGAGACCTCTTTGAACAGACTGCCTCCAGGCTGAACGGTCTGCAGCCAGTGTCTCCCATATAGCAAGATCGACGTCCATGACTTTCAGGTCCCTCTTGCATACGTCTTTGTACCGTAGCTGGGGCTTGCCTGTTGGACGCTTTCCCTGCATCAGCTCTCCATACAGGAGATCCTTGGGGATCCTGCTATCGCCCATTCGCACAACGTGCCCGAGCCAGCGCATTCGTCTCTGTTTCAGCATTGTGTACATGCTAGTGATTCTTGCTCTCCTCAAGACGTTGTTGTTTGTCACCTAGTCCTGCCAGATGATGTCCAAGATGTGTCGAAGGCAGCACATGTGGTAGGCATTCAGCTGTCTTTCCTGACGGGCGCGAAGTGTCCAAGACTCACTGACATAAAGGAGAGTGCTCAGGACACAGGTTCAGTAAACCTGAATCTTAGTATACTCAGTTAGCCTATTGTTAACCCACACTCTCTTTGTTAGTCTGGACATGGTAGAAGATGCCTTACCGATGCGTTTGTTTAGCTCCGTATCAAGAGAGAGGGAGTCAGAGATGGTGGAGCCCAGGTACACGAAATCGTGAACGATTTCCAGTTTGGAATCGGATATGCCTATGTCAGGTGGGGAGTCCACTCCTTGTCCCATGACTTGTGTTTTCTTCAGGCTGATGGTGAGTCCGAAAGCCTGAGAGGCCTTACTGAAGAGGGTCATGAGCCGTTGGAGATCTTCGGCTGAGTGGGCAGTGACTGCTGCGTCGTCGGCAAAAAGGAAGTCGCGCAGACACCTCAGCCGAACCTTCGTCTTGGCACTCAGCCTGGCGAGGTTAAAGAGCTTTCCATCCGACCTGGTCCGGAGGTAAATGCCTTCCGTGACAGATCCGAAGGCGTGCCGCAGCATAACTGCGAAGAAAATCTCGAATAGGGTTGGAGCCAGTACGCAGCCCTGCTTTACTCCACTTCGGATGTCAAAGGCGTCTGATGTACAAAGGCCATCAAAGACCACGGTGCCCTTCATGTTCTCATGGAAAGATCTGATGATGCTGAGGACCCTGGGTGGGCATCCGATCTTGGGGAGGATCTTGAACAGGCCATCCCTGCTGACGAGACCGAAGGCCTTCGTCAGATCTATGAAGGCTACGAAGAGTGGCTGTTTCTGTTCCCTGCATTTCTCCTGCAGTTGTCTGAGGGAAAAGACCATGTCGATGGTGGACCTGTCAGCTCTGAATCCGCATTGTGATTCTGGATAGACTCTCTCTGCAAGTACTTGGAGCCTCTTCAGTGCGACTCGAGCAAACAGCATTCCGACAATACTGAGGAGGGAGATTCCACGGTAGTTGTTGCAGTCGCCCCTGTCACCTTTATTCTTATACAGTGTGACGATGTTGGCATCCCTCATGTCCTGTGGCACCTCTCCTTCTTCCCAGCAGAGGCAGAGAATTTCATGCAGCTCCATGAGCAGGCTACCTCTGCAGCACTTCAAGGTCTCAGTAGGAATGCTATCTTTGCCAGGAGCTTTACCAGAAGCAAGGGAGTCTAGGGCATCGCTGAGTTCTTCGAGGGTCGGTTCGCTGTCGAGCTCCATTAACACAGGCAGACACTCAATGGCGCTCAGGGCGACTTCGGTGACCACATTGTCCCTGGCGTATAGCTCAAAGTAGTGCTCGACCCAGTGCTTCAGCTGCAGTGTCTGGTCCTGAATCACCTCGCCAGTGGCAGATTTCAGAGGAGCGGTCTTCCTCTGGATTGGGCCGAGGGCCTGCTTGATGCCGTCATACATTCCCCTTACATTGCCTATATCCGCTGCAGTCTGTATCTGGGAGCAGAGCTGGAGCCAATAGTTGCTGGCACATCGCCTGGCGCTCTGCTGCACTTTGCAGCGGACGGCCCGAAGGATCTGCAAGTTGCGCTGACTTGGGCAGGCTTTGTAGGTTGCCAAGGCGTTTCTCTTCTCCTCGATGACAGGTGTCATCTCTTCCGAGTGAGCCTCGAACCAGTCTGCTGACCTGCAGCCAAGTCTTCTTGGTCTTCTTGGCCAAAGTCTTCTTGCCAAAGGTGGAAA